TATAATGAGTTTTTCTAATATCTTGGACAATGGAGATAATAAAGATATGGGCCGGTAGTTGTTTACACAACGTTTGTCACCTTTTTTATATATAGGAATAACACGAGCAGTTTTAAATACAGTGGGGAAGACACCTAGTTTAAATGATAAGTTGAATATATATGCAAGAGGTTTAGTAATATTGTAAATGCAGTTTTTAATTATATAGTTGCTGAGTTCATCATCAGATAAGGATTTTGTATTTTTCGTATTACCAACCACATCTAAAATTTCAGATTCATTAACACTATAAATATAAAAAGAATTAGAGCTATTACCAGACAAGAAAGAATTATCACAAGAATTGTAATTATCATCGATAGAAAGTAAGCTTTCAATAAAGTAATTATTGAATTCATTAGAAATTGTCAAATTGTTAGTAACAACGTTATCATCAATCATTAATTGAGAAATATTATGAGAAGAGGCATTATTAAGCAACGAATTAATGAATTTCCATTTAAATTTTGAGTCATTGTTAGAAAATATATTACTATAATAGTTACGCTCAGCCTTTCTTATAACACTAGTGAAACGATTGCGGTGGTATTTATATATCTTTAGATTAGAAGGTGTGGGATTCAAAATACATTTTTTAAATAGTTTATTTTTTATTCTAGAGGCTTTTATGATGTCCCTGGTAATCCATCCTTTGTGCTTGTTGTTGTTAATTACCTTGATTGGAGCATATCTATCAATTATAGAGTTAAAGTGTTTATAGAAAGACAGACAGGATACCTCAACGTTTTCAGATCCAAGTACATCATCCCATTTGGTCATGGATAAAATTTTATTGATAATGTCAAAAGTTTTAGTAGTGAAATGACGAGTACCTAAGATACCAGGTGACTGAGAGGACAAATTTGTGCTATTGAAGAATGAAAATATTGGATAATGGTCCGAAAAATCAGATAAAAGAATACCAGCTGTATGTGGTAAAGAACTATTACTAAAGATGTGGTCAATTAGAGTGGCTGATGCATTTGTTACTCGTGTAGGTAATTCAATCGTCGAGGAAATATTGTAAGTTGCTAGTAAATTTTTAATTGCCATACTTTGAGTAGTGCATTTAGATAGGTCAACATTGATGTCACCAACAAGGTAAATATCCGTTGTAGGTTTAAGCCTATCCAAAATACATTCCAGATGTCTTAAAAAAGCATCGAAGGAAGAAGCAGGAGGTCGATATATGGCTAAAATTGTACCCTTAAAATAGTTGCAAGTAACATTAATACATAAACCATCTGAAAGATCATCATCAAATATCGATATTAAATTAGTTACAAAAGGAATGTCTTTTCTAATAAAAATACCTACACCTCCTCCAATTCCGCCTGTTCTATTTTTACAAGCAAAATTGTAGGAATCAATATTAACTAATTTACATGTAACGTCATTTAACCAGGTTTCAGAAACAATAATGAAATGAAATATGTTAGAAAATGATTTAATCAAAATTTGTAAATCTGACAGTTTATTAGTAACACTCCGACAATTTAGATGTAGAAAAGAAAAAGAGTTAATTTTAAAATTACTATTGGAACAAAATTGATTTATAAAATTATCATAACTATAGTATCTACAATCATTGACATTTGAATCAACAATGTTGAAAGTTTCAAATGACGCCATGGTTAAACAGTTTGGGGTTTATCCTGAAATATCCAATCCCAATCCAATCCCGCAATGACTGGGGGTTTATCCAATCCCGCACTACGGTGTTCATGGGCCATAAATCATCGTCAAAAATTTTGGAACTTTGGTCTAGCGGCAAGCACAAGCGAAATGAAGTACTACCATCAATATTTTCATTGTTACTAACACTATCTTTTTCTTTTTTCTTAATGGGATGTAATGATATGAGATCAATGCCAGCCTTTTCCAAATGTTTTGCAATAACTTCAGTCTTACAGAAAGTGAGATTGCCCACATAAAGAATGGATTTTTTGACTGGGGGATCATTAGCTGCAAACCCCAAATCAAGTTTTGATTTGCCTGAACATTTTCTGATATTACTTTTTACTGCTGTGGTGTACATATTGGTTAGTTTTCTTTTTTTGTTTTTATTAACAACAGTTTTAAAATCATTATCACTGTCATCTGACTGTGAGTTAATTTTTATATTATCATCATTTGTATTATTGTTTTTAGCAGGTTTCTTGTTGAAATTATCATCATTTATTAAGTTAGTATCAGAGCCCCATTCAGTGGTTATTGCTGAACTGGGTGGTTTTGAGGGCTGTGTAGAGTTAGACTTTGAAGTGCCAAATTTCACACTACTTGCATACCTATGGCTATTATTTGTAACCATATTATTATTGTTATTTTTTATAGAGCTAGACCATATTTTTTTGCATATATTATTATTGTCATCTATTATTTTTTCAATTTTAGAAAATTTATCAACTAAGCTTATAGAGTCAAATTGACAACTATCATTGGGCAGACGTTCAATTGCAATAACAGCAAACAACGGCAAATTATCTCTGATTTTTTCCGAAGACGTCAGGTTGAACATTTCAATTATGTCATTTGCTTTTTCTGCTCTTGTGTTACCTTTGGAAGATAGTTTGACCTTTTCTTCCTTTAAAGTCTCAAGTTCATAAAGTAGAACTTTGTGAGCATCTTGAAATTCAGCTGCGGTATAAAAACTTATAACGGAACTCTTAAATTATCATTATCATTAAATTTATCGCTATAACGGGTGAAAAACCACAAAAGTTCGCTAATAATAATTTTACGGCCGTCCGCCATTTGTTTACCATAGAATAACAACAACATCAACAACACCAACATACAAGAACGTGTCCACTGTTGAGATGGATGTTAGGGATGAGTGGGTCCATCGTGTGGAGGAATTCCATGCCCCGAGCAATGTCCAGGGCAAAGTTCAGACACTGGTGCTGGTCTACCACTATACCTGTTTGTGTGTATGCGTGCGTGTGTGCGTATGTGTGTGTATGAGTGTGTGTGTGAGTGAGTGTGTGTGTGCGCGCGTGTTTATATGAGTGTGTGTGTGTATGAGTGTGTGTGTGTGTGTTTGTATGTGTGTGTTCGTATGTTTCTAATTTGAACGCGCTAGTGTAAGTATGAACTTACGCTTCTAAAATCATCACAACATCAACATTACCAATCATCATCATAACATCTCTAACGACATCATCATCATCATCATGACCTAACCGGGCTCAGCATCATCATTATCATCAAATCACCAACATCATCATCAAATCACCATCATCATCACCAACATCATCACCACCAACATCATCATCACCATCATCATCATAATTTAACCGGACTCGGCGTGGAGGACATCAAAGAGTGACCCCAGGGGCATGTACTGACTGACGAGGACGAGGTTAGGGGGCTGGTTGCATGCCCCCAACAGTGGCAGGACGTTCGGGTGGTTGAAGATTCTGATGATGATGATGGTGAGGCGATGGTGGTAATGATGATTGTAATTTTAAACGGCAAAAAAGAAAGAGAGAGAATGAGAGAGAAAAAAAAAGGGAGAGAAAGATGCAAACACAATAAAAGAGATAGAAAAGTGAAGTGAGAAAAAGAGAGTTAGATAGTAAGAAAGAGAAAGAGAGAGAGAGAGAATGAGAGAGAGAAAGAGAGAGAGAGAAACCTCAAACCTCAATTTTGAACATTCATCCTTGAAATCTCGAAACATTCTGGCAGTGCACTGTCTGATGTTCAAAATCTTGATTGCTATCTCGCTGTCTTGCCATGTTCCGCGCCATAACTTGTCATTGTCATCGTTATCATCATCATCATCATCATCATCATCAACCTCATTATCATCATCATCACCATCATCATCATTTTCATCATCACCATCAACCTCAGCAGCTTTGTTGGCAGATATCCTAGATTGGATGTTCAGCTGATCCAAATCAATCCCCGAATGTCTCGACAATGTGGCATCCTCTGCTCATTAACATAATTTATTCACTCGTGAATTATTCATCACAATGCTCATTTGCATAATATATTCATTTGCTAATTAATAACATCACAAACGCCAGCACCGACGGCAAAAACATCGTAAACAACAACAACAACAGCGACAACAACATCAGCATCTACATCACTACTAACTGGTCCTGGTTTTGTAGCCGAGCCAGCTTCTGTCTCGATACTCAATCCTCTGCATGTCCTGCCCCATGGACCTAGCCCTTTCTGATGTTGTTGTTGTTGTTTTGTTGATGTATTTTGATGTGATAGTTGTTGTTTGTGTTGTCATGCTCCTTAGAAACGCTTGAAATGCACAAAAAACTTGAAAAAACATTCATACACAAACACACATATAAACAAAAACACACACATACACATATAAACAAAAACACATATACACACACACACATATAAACAAAAACACACACACATATATACACGCCCACCGGCCAATTCATGTGCCAGAGATATTTTTGCTTTATCCAAAGGCGTTTCACCGAATTTATTCTCAATGTTGACGGGGGCGTTGTTCTTAACCAGCTCCTGATAATGATGATGAAGACGTAATGATGATGATGATAATGATGCTACAGCCGATGATGATAATGATAATGACGATGAATAGTCGATAATGATGGTGATGAAAGTAAGGTGAACTTAATAAGAATGATGACAATGATGATAAATAATTCCATTACTAAAATCCTCATCGTCATCATCCCTCCCACATCATTATCATCATCTTTCCCACATCACCATCATCATCATCGTTATCATCACTCCCACATCACCATCATCATCATCGTTATCATCATTCCCACATCACCATCATCATCATCATCACTCCCACATCCCCATCATCCTCATCATCCTGACAGACCTCTGCAACTCTTTCAAAGTTCCAGAAGCAGGCGTAGTGTAGGGGAGTGTTGCCGTGTTCGTTGGCCACACTCACGTTTGCCTTGCTCTGCAGCAGCTGCAAAAACAATTACAATCACAAACAACAACATTTAATCAGCACACGTACGCTCACACGAACACACACACACACAGGTGCGCGCACACACGACAAAACTGACCATCAAGACAATATCAAGATGACCGTGGGCCGCAGCCAGGTGAAGGGCAGTGTCGTCCCCCATGTTCGTGGCATTGACCCGCACCCCACGGTTTAGTAGCATCTCTACTATGTTTGTCTTGCCCTCCATACATGCCCAATGTAGAAGGCTAAATCCATGGCCGTCCCTGGAATATGTGTGTGTCTGTGTGTGTGTCTTCTCTGTGTGTGTGTTTCTCTGTGTGTGTGTGTGTCTGTCGGTCTGTGTGTGTATGTATGTTAAATGCATTATCATTGTATGTTATGTTACGCCTAGTGTGTAGAAATATTCTCTCTCCTCTCTCTTTCTCTTTTTATATGTTTCTTATCTTCCTCTACCTCTTTCTCTCTCTATATATATATACAGATGTATAATTTATTATAATTTATTCATAAATATTCATAAAACCAAAAAAAGACAGGCAGACCCTTGGTTCAGATCATTCTCAGTGTTATCCAGCCATATCCTAACTTGGAATGCATTACCATCCCTAACTAAGCTGAATATGTCGTCCATACCGGTGGGTTGTATTGTACAAACTAAGGGGTAATCATTAATGATTAATTTAACAAGAAGATATTAGAATTAATTCAAAAAATTAAAGTAATGATCATTATTGTAGTGGTTTAGATAATTTTAATGTTTTAGAAGTTTGCTGTTATTAATTAGTAATGCTATTCTTATTAGTTAGTAAGTATTTATTAGTCAGCATCTTTTAGCGAAGCTTTTTTACTTTTTAGTTTTAATAATAAATCAGCTTGTCAATCCCAATATGACATATCATATATATATAATATATATATTATATATGTACTGTATTGTATGCAGTTATGTCTGGGATAGTTCTTGGCAGTGATATATAATAATTTGGCTTTATACACACATAATGTAATTTTACTATGATAGATTATTTAAAAATATTGAAAAAATCAAAAAATTAAAAGTTAAAAAATTATATAAAAATAAAATAAAAGTAAGTAAAAGAAAGGAGGTAGATGGTAGAGAGAGGTAGACTTATTTTATTTTTTAATAGTTTCTCTGCCTATAGTGAAACTGACCAAAGCAAAAAATACCAAAAAATCTTATTAAAATTAATTTTTTGCGGAATAAAATTTCGAGGAAACGAAATAAAATGGAAATGTCTTGAAAATAATAATTACACTGATCTAAAAATTAATTCCCTAAACTAAAAGCAAACTTAAATAAATACATAAACAATAGAAAGTAAACACACGTCGAGAAAAAAAATGATGCAAGGACAGCCATATTCAATCTATATAGTCATCATATACTCATATATTTTTAATTTGGATATATATTTAAAACAATTTCTACATTTAAAACAATTTTTTGTTAATACTTGTCATAAAATATTCATCAAATTCATCAAGAAATAATTAAAACAATGGAATTAAACACAAACGTCGTTACTAACGTTTCATCTAAAATTCTAAATTTGTCTAAAGAAATTGATCAAGAGTTTTTAAAAATATTTTTTATTTTATATTAATTTTTCTCAAGAATGTCGATCATTTCAATTTATATTTTCTCAACGGATGGAAATCTTATTCTCTTTAAAAATTGTGAGTTTTTTAAATTAATATTTAAAAAATTTAGTTTTTTAAATTTTATTAAACTTTATTAATTATTCGTTTATTAATTACTTTATTTAAATTAAAATTGAATTAAAATGTATACTTTAATAGTTTAATAATTAAACTATTAAAGTATACATTTTAAGTTTAATTATTAAAGTATACATTTTAATTCAATTTTAATTTAAATAAAGTAATTAGTGAATGTCAAATTAATAATTAATTTTAATCTATAATAATAGTTAATAAATAAAAAAGTGATGTGATATGATTAATTAATATTAAGAGTTAGATTAGTGATGATCAGTGTGTTTGAACTTTGAATGTATATAAAATTTATATTATAAATTAGGCATGATAGATTATTTAAAAATATTGAAAAATTTTGGATTTTAATTTGAACAGATGNTATTA